CGCCCRAAAAGGCAAAAAAAATCATAATCATATGATGCGCCTGTGTCTGCATTCCTTTCAAARAAGTTACTTTCTTTAATCCATCCATCTTCTTTACCTGCATTTTCCTTTCCWRGTGGGATAGTTGGCGTGCGAGAGGCGGGGTACACCCTGGACAAGTCCATCACAGAGCYACTTTCCYTTATGTAACACCTGACATAACTTTGTTTACATCTGTGATGTTTTATGATGTTTCAGCTCTTTTCCCGTCATTTGATTCTTTATCTGTGGCTTTCTGCACCTTCTCCTTCCTCCACACTCAATCTCCCTCGCATCCCCGTGCGCGTCACAGTGACTGGACTCATTTTCRGCTATTTATTTCCTTTATTTCCTGAGATCAGCTATAAAGAACAAACACTATTAAGCCAGCCAATCAATGAAGGGACGTCAACTCGCTCAGCCCCCCCTCGCAGAAATAGATTTATATCTCCTGGCTGGGTCACATAAATCACATATTCATACATTAAATTAAAAATGTGATTGATAGCAAAGCGTGTTTGAAATCTTCTGATGCAAAAAAAAGAAAAGAAAAAAAGAAAAAAATGTTAGTTGAAGATGAAGAAAACATTTCATTAGAATCAGGAGAGAAAAAAGAAAATAAATCAAACCGCCGTTACAGAAGCAGAGTATGYAATAAAATGGACAACACCTAATCTCAGCCTGAAGAGGAAAAATAAATACAACAGAAGCAACACAAACTCAACCCATATCTCTCCTGGACATTAAAGGAGGTGGTTCACTCTAACCTCCATGTGATCCACATGTGATTCTTTRAGGCGGACTGAGAGCTGAGGAGCAGGTTCACTCACAAAGTGACACTTATTGGGATATATACAGGATTGYGTCTTGCATTTTAGAGCTTGGTGGTTATGGGGGCATTCCAGAGGAGGGAGGCAGAGAAATATGGCAGCATCCATCAGGAGCTTGGCTAAAGAGGAAAAGGTGCAGGAACAGAGAGGGAACGAGGGCTCAGTGTTGGAGGGCTGCCAAGGACATTTAAGAGAGCTGTCAAGGGAGGCTGATCTATGAAGGACCCTGGCAAAACCTATACCCCAGAGTGTGTGTGTGTGTGTGTGGGGCTGTGTGTGTATGATTATAGAAGAGAGCAGGGCACCAATGCATGAAGTAACACATGCACCCTGGAGGTTTGGGCAAAGCGGACTCTGAGTGTGAGTGTAAAGCTCAAAGATCAGAGCTGGAGTCCAWCCACACAGAAAATCAAACAATTTCATTTTAAACACGAGATGAAACAAAGAATTCAAAAAGTAGCGAGGGGYAAACAACAAGGGACAAACTGCTCAACCACAAAAACTGCCAGACTCCTAAAAAAAGATCATTTTTAAAAACTTTGCAGTCAAAGTTTGACAGGCACAGCTGATATGTTGTGTCACATAAACTCTCATGTGACACAACACAAAAAACTCTGGTGTGGCAGAGAATCTCCTCAACATAATCTTTAACTTATGCCATGAGATGTGGCCGTAATACAAAWAAACTCAGGAACGTATGTTGTGGGGACATAAATCTGTCATATTGTTAGTTTTTTTTTTTGTTGGTAGATTTACAAATTATTACCTAAGCTGTTACACTTTCACAACAAAATATGCATCAGAAATTTGAAAGCAKTTGTTTTATAATRCAAAATCCAATTTTTTTATCCATTAAAAATGCATTTGTTGTGTACTTGGAGTCAGTACAGAAAAGGTGAATTATGTGCTGCGTAGATACCTTTACATTTATTTTGGGTCATATTTTTTAAYCTGTTCAGTTTTCTTTATTTTCTATCACTTTTTCTGAACTATTACATTAAAGTATTTGCTTTGGAACTTCTAAATAAGAACTTACCAACTACAATTTGATCGTCTTCATTCTCCTCYGGCAACAACATATGAGGCTGGATGGACAAGTCTTTTAATTAATTTGTAAAAAACTTAAAAATAAAAGGTTTCTGCACAGTGACATAATCGTTAAGCCCAAACTACAATGAACCACTCTGACAGCTGGAGGGGCTGGGGGAGGGCGCATTGCTTGGATTTAAAGAGACAGCCTCAAAACGAGTTGATCTGAGACACACCTCAGAAAAGGGGTAAAARATGGACTTGTGGAGTTACAATAAGGATGAATTTAGACCAAAGTGTTGCAGTTTCACTTTGTATACACCCCAACTGAATGATTTAAAGMAAAAGAAGGATTTAAAAACATGAAATGTCTCCTTTAAAGGAATGCATGTGCCCTGCCCCTTTCATGCCAGAGTTTTAAGCTAGCTTGTGTTGAGAAATGAGTTGTGGTAAATGTCCTGGAGATGATCCTCAGCAACAACCTCACCAAACTTTAGCACTATGTCCTTGAAAATGAACTGAATTATATCAATTCATGTATTTGGTTAGCTAGCTGTAGAGTCCGTCTTGAACTGGGCTGACTTCAACAGATGAACAGGGATTACTTTATYAGAGCTTCATTCTGATTTGCTCATTTCTGCCATCGTTTAGCTTCATGTCTCTAAAACATGTTTTTACAGATCGAGGCCCACTGCAGCTGGGGAAAACAAAGTTTCTAGCTCAAATTGCCTGTTAAATGGATGCTGGTGACCCAGCTACGATGAACAGAGCACTGGGACCATGAATGCTACGAAAGAAGTGCTGCTATTCTCAATGGAGAGGATTTATCACGACTCTATAACTTTATATGTCTTTCAAGTATCATTAAAGAAATTGGACTATTTTTCCATACTGACTCCTTCCCTATCGCGTTTTCTTTCAAGCTTTCTAATTTCTCACAAAGGAGCTCCATCATCGTTGAGGAGGAAGAGGAGAAAGACATTAATGATTAGTGACAGTGAGCTGAGGTAAGCCGGTGAAGAGCACTGATGGAAACAGTCACTGGCCACGRCGCGGGGCTTTCTCTGCAGGAATACGATTCACTTTCTGCATCAAAGTCATGCTCCGCACTGTCACCGGCTCCAGCTGAGCGCTGAMAGATTTCTCTTTGTCCCCTCGTAAATAAACACCGGTCTCCAGRGTGAGGGACTGTAGATCAGGGAGCAAATAGCTGGAGGTATGATGCACAGCAGAACAGCGGCCCGTGGAAGAGCATCCCCTCTTTATGACTTATTTTCACATTTTGGGAGCATGGACTCTGTGGCATGAGARCCACACAAAACAAGCGTACGAATGAGCATCCAATTAGGGTCTGCGCAAACAATGTTCCCTGTTGGTTTTTAATGGTCTGGGTGGGGGGTCACAACGCGCTTCATATCTTTTGCCCTCATATTTTCATCATCGATGCCACAGAGCAACCCGGCTGCAGATTTACAGCAGAGGATCACAGACAATAACATTAAAGACAGAAGTGCACAGTTTTATGACTTCAGCACTTTTGGTTTGAAGTCTTCCAGCATCAGTGAGTTTAAATTATGGTGGGAGACGTCCTTGGGATGTGAACATCTCATTTCACCAGGCTGGACGTAACCACACACACACACACACACACATACACACACATACGCCCATGCACACAACTCATTTTATTGGGGTACTCCAGGAGAGTGGACTCATTGGAGCATGACATAAGAATTATACATCTGACAGCTGTAAACCTGCAAAAATCCCCCCACCCCACCCTTCACACGCTCACTTTTTGTTATGAGGAACAACGCTAGTTTCGCTCATTATGCTGAGGGAACATTTGCTATTATTTTAATCTTATTGGGGATCATTTTTATTCCTTTCCTTTTTAAAACTCTTGATTTCTTTCAGAAAAAAATAACTTTTTTTGCGTGCTCACTGCTTTGTTTGTCAGTGTGTATTTAATTGCTTTCTTTCGCTTCAGTTAGGCTGCCACAGCAAACAGAAATTACCGTTTTTGTCAATATCGCTATTAGAATAGGTGAGGGCAAACATTTTGCATGTATGCACTTATGAAAAATCAATGTTCTGTAGTCGTCAAACTACATTGTTAAAGCGTGCCCRTGCTTTCCTTAGTCTGCAGAGTCTGAGGCAAGAATTCAATAGAACCCAGAAGCTTCTTGAGTATCACTCGTGATATTTAAAGAACGCAAGATAYTTGATATTTTCATGCTATTGGCAGTAGATTTTATCAGAGAAATGAGTTTTTCCCCTGGAGTAATAGTGAGGAGCTCTGAAAGATGTAATTTATTCCACAGTCTTGATGAGAATTAGGAAAAAATCACGTTAAAAAAGTTATACGATGCTTGAGTCACTGGAATCTGTTTAACTACACAAATATATATTTAGCACAAAAAGTAAATGTTTGGTATATTATTTATTTGTTAGAACAATGCACTGGCAATAGATTTTATGATGTGCACCTGATTGGCAGCACTACCAGGAAGTTCAAAACAAGTGTTAGCAACAACAAAACAAGCTGTTTGGCAGAAAAAAAATTGGGAATTTTTTCATGTGCCCAACCCACACTGCTCATCCCACAAATGCATGTTCCTTACAAATGTGGCACCGTTTAAAAGGGAATTTAATTGGCTTTCCAATATAGCWTTTTTACAGCAAAGAAATAATCTACTAAACACAAATTTCCTTACTTATTTTCAYATGCCTTGTATATTGCTTGCCTTCTTTCATGACAAAGTTTGGATTCAAGATGGTGTTTAATTTAGTTTATGTTTTGAGGRTGACTCAGCTACAGCTCCCAAACTTAGCTCAACTTCTGTAAGAATGACTAATTTAAAGCCATTTTTTAAATTTTTCTAATGTTATATGTCATCCTGTGATTTAAACCTGACAGGGGAACCTCAGCAACTCCATCCCAGCTGCGCTCCACTTGCACCTCCGAGGACACGCCCACACGCCGTTTCCCAGCTCCGCCATTGGCTGCCTTGCTGAGATATTCAGCAAGCCGCGCGGCGATTGCTCGGAATCTCCCAGCAGCGATTTCATAAAGCAAATTTTTTGGGGAAGTTGTGTGAAGGGAATAAGTGGTGGGGGGGAAATTCCCTTGAGATAACGGCGGCACTAACAGCACAATTAGCCCGACTCTGTGTGTGTGTTTCCCCCCACCGCCGCTCACCTCTCGCTGTCAATCGCTGCAGGATTTGTTTGGACTTTTCCGAACCTCTCTCTGCATCTGTGAGTACCTGAGTTTGGCTGTTTGTCTGGCTGGCTGGCTCCTGGAGAAATATWGTGCTCGCTGCGGAGAAAGTTGATTTGTTTTATGATTTTTTTTTTCTAGTTTGGACTTTTTTTCCCCTTACTTTCTCATTTTAGTCGCAGCTAATAAATCTCGATAAAGACGCGTGTTTTTTTTTTTTTTTTTTTTTTTTTGGAAAACTGTTTTATTTATCACCTTTATGGGCTGGGATTATCACGGATGATGTGCAGCTCCACATACCTTTAAATTAAAAATGTCCACATGAGCAGGAAGTAAAGATGACTGCAGGATTCAAAGAATTATTGCATAGTTTTGTATATTTGTCACTTTTAAAAGTAATTTCTTCCTTTTTCTAATTAAAAAGCTTATTTTTTTAAAAATTAGTATATTAATTTGGAATTTTGTGTTATGTATATAGAAATATCCAAGTTTAATGCACATTAAACTTTGCAAAAACTTAATTTAAATGTGCTGATAAAGTTTTGATGACAAGAAAATGATGTTTGAAACTGCTGTGATGACTTTGTGTGTCTTGGCTGTGATAAATGATGGACACATCAAAGCTGAAAATGTAAAATTTGGGCTAAAATGAGTGAAATTCCCTGGGTTTTGAGCATGTTCTGCATAACTGTTGTCCCTCTCTGAGGAGAGCTTCTGTTTGAAAGTGAACATCTCCCTGGCTCTTTGTCGCAGTGTTATCAGGATCAGAGCTGGGGCAGGAACGCTCCAGAACACACRTGCTGATGTTGCACGCTGTGGTAATGGCCTCTTACCGCTCACATAAATAACCAAATCGAAARCATTTCACCGCTTTAAACATTTTTCTCCCGCCCCGTGCCATTATATGGTCTTTGGCTGCTTTTTGCAGGAAAGCACGACTTTATGTTGCTTCTGATGATTGTTGTCGACCTTGCAGATGTTGCATCATAAACCCCAACGATCTGCATGAARGGAGTACTGAACAACTTGATTTGAGTGGGACATCTTCACCGCAGTGGATGGACAAAGTGACTGGATGTCCTTGAATGGATAATGTCATAGTAATGGCTTAATCAAGGCAAAAAAGTCCCTGGTGGATTTGGCTGTTCACCCTGCCACTTTCTAGGCACAAATTAAATGACGTATGGCTCTTTTCTCAACTTTGAGGCAGTTGCTCAACTAAAAATGTATCAAGGGAATGAGGCTTTCCCATTTTTGGTTCCTTACATGCACAGACACTAATCATCTGCCAGTATTTTTAGAAGAAAATGTAATTTATTAGCAGTTTTGGCCTCCTCCAAGGCTCCTCTATAACAAAAATTTAACACCAAGTCTGTAAAACTTCTCTTCCTTGGCCAGTTCATTTGTCATCCCATCCTGCTTTAAAGGGGAAAAAATCTACTAATTAACCCCTTTTTACTAACAGCCACAGCTTACATGTCTATCAGCTTTCCAGCGTGTTATCACCTATGTCCCTACGAAACCAGCACCGGACCCAGATGTAGTTCTGCAGGTGTCAGCTGAGGTGCTTCGCATGGCTCCAAAAAAAAAAAAAAAAAAAGCACAGTAGTTTTATCTTAAATTGAATTGTTTACGGAGACATTAAGGAGCCATATATCACCTGGACAGTCTGAGCTGAAAGAGAGAATATGCAGCAGTCTGGATGCAGAGATGGGAGCGTCTCAATGGCACYACAGATGGAATGGGCTGAGGCTGCGTTCATAAATCCACAGGGAGAGAAAATCAACTTGTCAGCTTGTAAACACCATTTAGGCTGCGAGGGTTGTGTGTGTAAAGTTTGATTCTGGCTTTAAGAAGGTGACCTTTCCCTTTTTCTCTCCATTTTTTTTTACCAGTGCTGTTTTATTTTTTATTTAATTTGTCTGAATAGACCTTTTTGGCAGCATCTCAAGTCCGTTATATCAGGTCGTATTGGTTTCCTCTTTGCTCACCAAAAAAAAGCTCTGTTCCATGTATGGATTTTCTGTCCTGTAGTCCCTCAGGCTGCCCACATGTGAGGAGTTGTTCAGGTCTAACCCCGCAGAAYGCTGCTGATTCAGTGGTATATCTTCATCTCCAGGTCTGAGAGGCTGAGAACTCTGCCATTGTTGCGCAACTGTTTTTATTTACCCAATCAAAATGATATATGTTTCCAGAGCTGGTAAAAATGCAGAGCTGTGCTTTTTATATTGTTTTTACAAGAAGTGTCACAATGCATGCATTTTATTTGCTTTATTCATTTGAGATAAAAAAATAATAAATAATAAAAAAAGAGGGCAGTGATAAAACAGCAGTTTTGTACAAGTAGTCTGTTTTGCTCTTCAGGTGAGGATGTTGTTGTGCCTCCTCCTCATCCTGCCTGCCCACTCCGCGGCTCAGAGATCAGAGCCCGTGTTCTCAGCTATAACCAAGACCGTCCTTCCTCCAGACTATGATAACAACCCCACGCAGCTCAACTACGGCGTGGCCGTCACTGACGTAGACGGAGACGGAGACTTGGAGATATTTGTAGCCAGGTGAGGCGAGTGGAAAAGTGCTAAAAAATACATTTTGATTCCTAATTCGTTTTACAATAAAGATCTACTCACATACACAATAAAAAAAAAAAAAAAAAAAACACCACTTCTGATCAAGAAGGACGGAAGTATCGTCCCGCTTTACAAGATAACTTTTAGAACAGAGGTTAAAAAGCTGTAAGACAGGAGACATAAGGGTGTCCTGAAGCTCACTCAACTGAAGAAAATGGATGTGGTTGAACAGAACGCCGGTGATGGGAATGGGTTTGCGATCCTGCCGCTATCCAATAAAGCAGCAATGAGATTCTCAATGCTTAACGGAATATAGATGAGCCAAAATGAGTGTAATTACTAAATGTCATTTAGCCAAAACATCCTATTCAGCAGGTAACCGGGGCATAAGATCACCCCAGCCTTATAGAGGATGTAATTTAATTTGCCATTAGAAGAATCTGTGCATGAATAGCTCCATATAGTTTATGCTACAGCTACAATGCTGACATTCAATACTTATAGCAAAATAATGATCACTTTAAAGATTTTTTTTAATCTATGCACAAATGTCATTAAAGTTAATAGATGTCTAGAATCTAAATGTATTAGTTTTTTAGTCTAAAAGCACTTGCTTGAAGTTCTCCTGTTGGAATGTAATGTACGATTCATTAAGAGACTGAAAGATTAAACTGTACAAAACAAAAGACAAAATGTGTCTGCTGCTCAAAGAAAATTAAAGGTCAAGGGTGCTCAAACTTTTTCTCTGAGAGGGCCCAAATGAAAATCTAGCAGAGGGCTGGAGGCCAAATGTAATAATGTAATCCATGAAATGCAAACACTTTTTAAAGTTATTTTTCATTTTAAAACTAGCAGCCAGTGCGGTGGCCCATATTTATTTATTTTTTTATGTTTTTAGCCTGTGCATCTGGACAAAGTTTGATGTACGCTCAAACAGCAAAAGCACATGGGACGTTTCATAAATTTATAAAATATGAGTGTGGTTTAATAAAGTGTGCAAACATGTGGGCTTAAATCTAACGCCTCTTGTTGTTACGTGTATTTCATGTTTAATATTAATACACTGTAATTCAAAGACAAAGTTAGCAGACTATCTTATGAGATAAATCTTGTGCCAGCAAGAATCGAATTTGAATTGCTCAGATTAAAACTGTATGTGCATTATTTGAAACTGTTGAGAAAATAGATGGTTGGTTTGAAAATAAATTTCACTAAATTGAAACTGAATTTAATGATTTGAAATTGAATTTAAAGTTTACAATTTGAATTAATTTGCTTTAAAACTGTATTTTGGTTTAATTAAAATTCAGTTCGACTACTTTCACTTTCAGTTCCATAATTCAGAGTTTTGTGTCATACATCTCCTGGTCCTTGAGAAAGCCAGGCAGAGTAATCAAACACAGATCCACAGATTTATGTTTCACTTTGGTGAAGTTTCCCTTCTGTAATGTAACAGTCGATGCAATCCACTGTAAAAGTGACAAAAAACAAAGTTATTTTATTGCAGTGAATAATTTTACCTATGGAAAATGTTACATTTATATCACATCATGGATCAGTCAGCAGCAGAATCTGATCAATATGTGATCCATGATGTGATGTAAATGTAACATTTTCTACATAGGTAAAATTAATCACTGAAATAAAATAACTTTGTTTTTTTGTCACTTTACGGTGGATTGCATCAACTCTGTTACAGAAGAGAAACTTCACCGAAGTGAAATGTAAATCTGTGCATCTGTTTTTGATTACTCTGGCTGGCTTTCTCAAGGACCAGGATGTGTGACACAAAAATCTGAATTTTGGAACTAAAAGTGAAAGTAGTCAAACTGAGTTTTTATTAAACCAGAATACAGTTTCAAAGCAAATTAATTCAGATACAAAACTTTAAATTCAGTTTCAAACCATTAAACTCAGTTTCAATTTAGTAAAATTCGTTTTCAAACCAATGTATTCAATTTCAAATTAAGCACAAACAGATTCAATCTGAGCAATTCTAGATTATCTTATGTTGAGAAATTAAATTACAGAGAAGGATTTGTCTTGGTCAAACCTTGAAAATAATGCCATGCAGCAGACTGTGTACTGTCACATCATAATATAGTTTTATCCGTTTTTGTATTTTGTGGCAATCATCTTGAATTAGACTGACTCCAAAAGTTATTCAGCTGTAGATATACATTCAGGGATTACTTCCTGAAAAATATATGTAACCTTCTGCTTCATGAGATATTTTGCTAACACAACAAGCACAGGTACAAGGAAATTCTTTATCTTCTGCCTTCACGTCTTTGTGGTGTAGGTGATGATAATGACTGCTGAAGTTCAACTGTATCATAAAATAATGGATACCATCCATCCATCCATCCATCCATCCATCCATNTCCATCCATCCATCCATCCATCCATCCATCCATCCATCCATCCATCCATCCATCCATCCATCCATCCATCCATCCATCCATCCATAACAGCATAACAATATCATCATTTTATAAGTAAAACATATGGGTAGTTTCTGCATTAACCCGAATACTTTTATAAGTTCGGTATTTGTTTTTGTATTATTTTTATATTTACAAGTGTAGTAAAAATAGAAATATGGTAGAGTTAAAAAACTAAAACAAAATGTAGTTAAATAGAATCTTTTATATTGGCCATGTTACACATTTTAACTTCTAAAAAATGAGAGTTCGCACAAATAAAATACTATGAGTTTTAACTGTCACAAGCTTTTTCTTGATTCAAACTACACAAATTTAGTAGCCAAAGGCTTTCTGAACTGTCTTTTATTGGATCAAATCACAACTGTTTTTATATGAAGAGAGAACATTACACATTGAAACCTTGAATTTGTCAGTGATAAACACTCCTGTAAAAAAACAGTGAGCAGATATATATTTAAACATAAAAATGTAGCGCTTATTTAAATTCCACAAACCTTATATAAAAAAACTTGCATGCATTTCAGTTGAGCAGACTGTCCCAGACCCAACAGGATCTGAAACGGACAGAATAGTTCAGGTTCTGCTTGGCTGTGGCAAATGTTATCTCTGTTTCATGAGACTGATGACACGGTTGGTTTTAAGTGACATCGCCTGGAGAAATTTATTAGTTCGTCATAAAAAGGTTATAGTCCTGTCCTCATGTCCGAATCAGTCGGTGTTTAAAAACCTGCTTACCTTTTTATTTTGCTTTAAGATAAATCTGTATGGGGAAAACTCACCAAGCCAATCATTGTGTTTTTACACAAAATAGATGAGATTTATTACAGATATTACTCCCAAATAATATTAGAAATGTTGATTTACTTTCTTGCTCTTTTTACTTAACAAGACAAAATGCTGTCTAGTCTGCAAGTCAATTGGAAGAAAATGTGTAAAATTGTGCTAATAATTAAAAAAAATATGCATTAGTCAGAAGTTTTAATACTATTTATATTTATCTACTTTAAACAAGCCCTTGTATGGACAGCAAAGGCAGAAAAGCAGTGGTTTAACCTCACTCAAATTAAAAATAAATAAATAATGTTCACAGATAAAATAAGTGTGTAGTTGATCAGTTTCAATTAATCAGAAACATCTTCTAATCATTTTCTGTCCTCATTGTTCGTTTCGACTGCTGAAAACCCAGACTAAATAAAATGACAACGCACAACTTCCTATCTCCTTGTGTCGACAGCTACAATGGTCCCAACCTGGTGCTTAAGTATGACAAAGAGAGCAAAAGACTCGTCAACATTGCCATCGACAACCACAGCTCCCCGTTTTACGCCCTGAGAGACCGTCAGGGCAACGCCATCGGGGTGACAGCGTGTGACATCGATGGGGACGGACGGGAGGAGATTTATGTCCTTAACACCAACAATGCTTTCTCTGGTATGACACGAGCTGATGCAAAGACATACAGTAAACACACACATTCATGCACAGAGAAAGAGATTATTCTTTTTTTTTTCTTTTCTACAAACACAAAGCAGTGGAAGCGGTAACTGAGGTTATCTCATCAGAGTCCTCATCAGATAACAGCGCTGCTATTAATCATACGGAGAGCTTCAGAGTCACTGTGGCAACACTGCAGCTCTGTCATTTCCCTTAAAACTCTGAGTTTTATATCTCAACAGCCATCTGAGAGCCTGTTTCATGGATCTTGGTGTTCACGTGATGCGTAAAGTCTCTGTACTTCTGAACTCTGTTTCTCTGCACATCGAGGTCGGGCGACGTATTCGGACAAGCTGTTTAAGTTTCGTAACGGACGCTTTGAGGATCTGCTAAACGACGATATTAACGAGCACCGAGATGTAGCCAACCCAATGGCTGGGCGCTCAGTGGCCTGTGTGGACAGGAAGGTACTACTTACACACACACACACACATACGTACAGAAAGCAGAGTACAGTATGAGCTGTAGATTTGCACCACACACACACACACAGTGTCTTCTACGTGCATGCACGGGTGCTTCTGTTTGTTTACCAGTGATAACTCATGCCCTGCCTACGCCGCCCTTCTCAGCATGTGCTCTGACAGTTCATTTGGGGGAATGGTGTGCCATTTTCTCTCCTCTGTCCGTCGCACCAGTGTAATTACAGAAGCAAAGGCTCGTTTGTTTTACAGAACATCGTACGAGGGGGGAGTGATGACTGCGCACTGCTGCTTTCTGCTTGTAGCTTTTCTTTGCTTCCCCTCACTTCCTTTGTTTTTATCCTTTTTTCTCATCCCCCCTTCCTTTGCTGTGTTCCTTTTCCCCTCCGTCTGACTGACACACTCCCTCTTTGTCTCTTATCTCTCTCGCACACATACAATTTTCGCTTCTAATCAGGAGATTGGATAAAAACAGTAATACGAAGAAAAGGACAGCAGGCATCACAATAGATTTTATATATTTATTTATTTTTTACAGTCTCATCCCACTGAGCACTGATAAAGTGCGCAGGTGCCAAACAGATTGGAAAGATATCTGCCTTTAATGGCACACTTCTTTTAGACGAAGCCAAAGCCCTGATGTGCCAGTTCAAGCAGATCGACTGTTCCTATTACTGAGCATGTTGTATTGGGGAACGCATTGTGGAACAAAAGCAGAAGGTTGCAAAGACCAAAGCCAGAGCGTGCTGTGTCTCAGCTGCGGACCTGATGCGTTTGGCCTTGCTTGCTCACAAATAAAGTATTATCTTTAAACTAAAGAGGTGCATTTGTCATCCAGCTATTCCAGCTCACTTTGTCTCCTTGTAACCGACATCCCATTATTATTCCTAAACAGACTGATGAAGGTGACGTACTGAGGTGCTGATCTTGATGGATCAGCTTAGTATGAGCAGGCAGGAGAAAATACATACATTTTACAAACTCAAGTAACTGAACTTATAATTATTAAATTTCCTTATACTGTATATAAAAAAGACATTCAGGCTTCTCTGGGATGGTTGTGAAGATTGATCCTTGCAGCTGCAGCAGCAACATAGAGTTTGCAGGCAGGCGTGCTGTACTCTTCACACTGCAATCCCCAGTGACAGAAATGAGCCCGGGGTGAAGACTTATTGAAAAATCATTGACTTTTAACTTTGTTAAGTAACAGCCAGTGGCCTTCAGGTCTTTTATCCTAGCTCCTTTATTTCTTTGTAATGTGTGTGTGTGTATGTGCGTGTGTGTGAAAATGCTCCTCATACAGCACACCTTAATTTATGCGACGTAGCTTGTTTGCCCTTTTTTTATAGTACGGCGAACACAAACGGCGAAATGGGTTTTATTTGTGTGGTCTTGCACACAGTGCGGCGCTCGTGTGTTTGCATTGATGGAAATATGTTAGGCCTGGTGGGAAAGCTCATTGGAATAGAGTATACAGTCTATTAGCGTGGTTCCGTCTGTGATTTTTGTGTCTGCAGGGATTCTGACTGATAATGGAGTGTGAAATTAATCTCCAAAGAAAGGCAGAGCAAGGGGAGACTGGCTGAGGAAACAACAGGGGGTGGGTGGGGCAGTGGCAGGGGGTAAGAAATTGGGTAAGCAAAGCTAAAGAGGGGAAAGAACAGGTTTGATTAGGAAAAGGTGTCTGACCTTTTCAACGGGGCAAAAATAGGGTTAAAATTCAATTTATAGGATAATACTGTATATAAAAACAAAAACTATGTGCAAGTATGTTTTCATTTTTTTCTAAAACTGATTTACCTTATTTTTTGCCTGAGATGATGATGTATAACAATTTAAGAATTGCATCATTTTATCCATCTTTTCTGCTTTCTTCAATCATGCTTGATGCAATAAATGAATCAAAATAAATATGTAGCTTAATAATGAATAGAAATCTTTTTTTTCTACAGGGTACAGGCCGGTACGCGATCTACATCGCTAACTACGCCAGTGGAAGTGTGGGTCCTCACGCTCTTATAGAAATGGATGAGGCAGCCAGTGACCTGTCACAGGGTGTCGTCGCCCTCTCCAACGTGGCAGAGCAAGCTGGAGTCAACAAGTTGATTGGTGGGTATGAAAACCTGATGCTGACAGTGTGATATAGATAATGAAGCCTTTATATAATTTCAATGTGATTTAGAGTGACACCTGCAGACGTGCGTGTGCATTTTGTTGGCTGTTTTGGCTCTGTTGGTTGTTTACTAAAAAGTGTCCGGGAAGTGAAGTGAAATGGTGACACAAACATGCATTAGATTACATCAAGTATATTTTGTTGAGACCTATCATACCTTGGCACTTTATATACATCAAGTTATATAGTTCATTACATTTCCTAAGTGGGGGAAAATGTTTTTATTATTCATTGCTTGTCACTTTAAATGTCTTGGAGGAAGCATTTAAAACCAGTTATCAGCTTATTCTTCTTAATTATTCAACTTAATAAAAACAAAACAAAACACAAAATGCAAGTTAGTTATCTATAGTGTGTAAATTATGTAATTTACATAAAATTGCCAATCATTGGATTAGATATTATTTATTTTTTTAATACTAAGCAAACAAGGTAGATTGTTTATAAAAATGTCCCACCAGGGGGGCCACTATACCTATTTTAGGGAGCCTCCTCTTAATACATGATATTTTTTAAATAGCTTATTTTTCAAGAATGATCATTGGAAGTATCTTGATGAGTGAATTTCACTTAGTTAGCTTAGTTTATCTAAGCTAACTAAAACCATTAGATTGCAATGCAGTGTTTGCAATGAACAATTCAATATGCACAGTGGCAATGCAGACCTTAATTAATTTACAGTTAATTTATGAATATAAATTGTGTATACTGTGTTTGTTTGCTTTATTTATTTGAAGATTACATTGTAGGAGTTCAGTGCAAAATGTTTATATTTGTGCAAAATCCCTCTTAATTCTTTTATTCTGAATTATTTTGCTATACAAGGAAAGAGGGTATAACAGAGGAAATATTGCATTAGACTTTTACTTTTGTTGGTACTTTTACTGTACACTGTGGGATATAAAAGGACTTCACTACTTTGTTGTTAGAAAGTAGTTGTAGTTTATTTAGTAAGAGAACTAGTTACATAGTTTCTCAAACATTTTTTTATTCTTTTGGTAAGAAAGTTGTACTCAAGTAGTACATTGTTCAATAAAAAACTTTATATAACTTTTTATCTGGGTATGGTTGATTTAATTTGTAAAACAATCACTGGTTCATGAAGGTAACTTGTTCTGTGGGGTTCTCAGCCTGCTTTGTTCCTACATGAGGTGCTATACAGGTGCTGGTCATAAAATTAGAATATCATGAAAAAGTAGATTTATTTCAGTAATTCCATTTAAAAAGTGAAACTTGTATATTAT